ACCTCGGGGGCAGTGGTCACCACGACCACGATTTCTAAAAGAAGCCCGACTTTCCTCTCAGAAGAGGTGCCTCTAGACAAAATACCAGCAAGGAGCCATTTATGAAATGAAACAGTTATCATTCCTGCTATCATGTGTGAAATTTTTTCATGGGCAAAATTCCAATCCTCGGGAATAATTTTAGTTACTCAGAAAGTATAATAGCTAAGCAAAGGAAATGCAAATCTAGGAATGACACATGGGGATTTTTAATTTCCAGTTGATATGCCACTTTGGAGTTCAACTCTCAGATAAATGCAACAATTCCTATTTTATACACTGGATACAGAGCTAGTTTGATGTATCTGCAACAAGAAAGAGGGACGGGGTGGGGGGCTGGACACATGGCTCAGTGGTTAAGAGCACCCGCCGCTTTGACAGAGGACCCAGCTGAGTTCTCAGCACCCATATGAGGAGCCCACAGCTGCCTGTAGCTCCAGCTCCCAGAGATCTGGTGCCCCCTTCTGTCCTCACTGAGTGCCTGCACCCACACAGTGCACATACAGACAAGCAGCCACACACAAACACATAAATAAAAATAATTTAAAGAGAAAGAGGAAGACTGAGAGTCTCTAATGATTGCTCCCACAACTGTCCTGTGTTCTGCCTGCGATTTTTACGCATCCACGGTTTGGTCTCAGAAACAGATGCAACCCACGTTGCCACCTCTTGACGTCCAAGTGTGGGATGGCCGTCTTCATCCGGATCGTATCCCAAGCACCACTGCTTAGCTGAGAAACATGAAGGCTGGTTTGAAATATGTGAGTCCCAACATCCACAGTCCTTCAGGGAAGAGGGAAACTTTTAATAGGAGTGGGACTGCATCAAAGCAACCCATAATTAGGTACAAATTTGGCTCATGGTTCAGCAATTTATAGAGATTAGCTGCTCTGACCCTCGCAAGCACCAGGACGCTGCTTTCACGTTTGTGGTCACAGAGTGACCTCTAGTGTTAAAAGGGAAGGATTTTCTTACTCTCTCCCTTCCTTCCTTCCTTCCTTCCTTTTTCCCCCCTCAATATATGTTTTTATTTAAATTAGAAACATGCATGCTTCACATGTCAATCCCAGCTCCCTCTCCCACCCCTCCTCCCTTGTCCCTCCACCAACTCTCCAATCCCCCACCCAATCCCCACATCATTCCCCAGGGAGAGTGAGGCCCTCTTTGGGGAGGATCTCCAGAGTCTGTCATTTCATCCAAAAATTTAATGTTTATCTTGCCTTACTGCTGAAAGGGCGGGCTAAAGCATGCCCTTAGGGATAAAGGAAAAGCTTCCAAGAAAGATATACGAAGTTACGAGACACATATGTGAACTTTGTTCCATGTGCACATCACAGTTAGTTCCAGAATATTCTAACCCTAGCATGGAAATTCCTGAAGGGTTCTCACAGATAAGAGAAGGTCTGTGTGGTTTTGAATGTCTACTTACTTGGTTCCTTTCTTTTCTTTCATCACACACCGAGGCGGTGTGAAATTTTATTTTGAAAACTGCACGCCTCACACTGCTCTTGCCAATAGATAATTAAATCCTGTTCATACTTTTAAGGGGAGTTAGTCACAACACAATCCAAAGTTTGGGAGTTGTCTGAGGTTTTGTTGTTTACTTGTTTTTCCTTTTCCCTAATTATTTGAAAAGAAAAAAGAAAAGGCACAGAGAAATGCATCGCGACAAGGGTCAACCCTAAGGGAGTGACTTTGTGCCGGACTTTTCAAGGAAGGGAGCAAGGTCTGGTGTTGGCTGTGAGTGGTTTGCACTGATCGGGGCTGGATCTAGCATGCCCAGGGGCGCCAGAAATGCAGATCACTGCTCAAAAGCCAAGGAAAACAGTTCCTGTTCTCTCTCTCTCTCTCTCTCTCTCTCTCTCTCTCTCTCTCTCTCTCTCTCTCTCTCTCTGCCTAGAACTGTACATTCTAAGTTAAGAAATACTGAACTCTTCTTACATCATTACCAGAAACTTCACCGTTCATCTCTGCATTATACAATCTTCAGAGCACAAGTGAACACTTGACTCCTGGGGAGGCCACCATGTCTTCCATTACATTACTGCTGTCCTCTGGATAAAGTCTCCCAGCAGTCTGCGTGTTGAAATCTAAGTCCCCAGGCCAGTAAGTCAGCTCAGTGGGTAAAGCCACTTGGCGTGCAAGGCTGGTGACCTGAATTTGAACCCTGGACTTCACATCAAGATGGAAGGAGAGAATTGACTCCACCCAGTTGTCCTCTGAGGTCAACATGAGCATCATGGCATGCTTTGCACAAGGTGTGCATGCACTCAAATATACATGTGTGTATGTATACACACAACAGCAGCAATAATAATTAATTAATAAGAAGAAATTCTAAAAATGTGAAAGATCTTGGTCACTGGAGAGGGGTTATTTGAAAGAGGTAGAACTTTGAAGAGATGGAGCCTTGTGATCATTAGGCCACTTGGGGTGTGTCCCCAAAGCAAACTGGGAGCACCTGCCTCTTCTTGGTTCTCGTGGGCTTCCTGGAGATAATGTGAGCAGTTTAGCTCCCTGTGTACTCCTGCAGTGATGCGAAACCTCGCTTAATGCTCGAAGCGATGAGGCCAACCAATCATAGTCTGAAATAACTGAAACGGAATAAACCAAAATAAGCCTCCTTGTCTTTACTATTTGATTGTGTCAAACGTTTGTCAAAGTGACAAAAGACTGACTAATGCACAGACATGTATTTTTTTCTACAGTGAAGTTTCCTTGCAGCAGCCCAGAGGACTAAGAAAAACAAAAAAACAAAGCAAAAGACTTTGAAAATATCTGGAGGATGGCATTTTTCTCCACTCCAAGCCACACACCCATTGGTGCTTCCAGAACAGAAGATATAGCTCGACCCACGTACCATTGCAGGGAATTCTCCTTCCCAGGTCTCACAGCTTTGTACAGTTCCTTCCCAAGAGCAATAACCAAAGATGCTTCAATAGGCTACCCCTCCTGTGTGTGATTTTTAGTGTGCATGTGCATGTGTGTGTTCCTGTGCTTTTGTGTGTACCTGTGTGCATGTGTTCCTGTGCATGTGTGTATGTGTGTGTTCTTGAGCATTTGTATGTGTATACAGTGGTGCACATGTGTGTGAATTCATGTTGAGGACAGGGGTCAACATCGGGAGTCAAACACACCTCAGGAACCATCCACCTTGTTTTTTGAGACAGTCAGGCCTGGAGCCAACCAAGTAACCTAAGTCAGGGGGCAGAAAGGCTCAGACATTAACCTGTCTCCTCCTCCCCAGCACTGGAGTTATGGACACACAGTACCATACTCCACTTTTTAACATTGGCTCTCAGAATCAAACTCACAGTCCACATACTTATGCAAAAAGCACTGCTGTACCAACTAAGCAGTTTCCCCAGACCCCCCTCTCTCCATCTCTCTCTCTCTCCGTCCTGTCTCTGTCTCTCCTCTCCCCCCCCTCTCTCTCTCTTTCTCTCTCCATTCCCATGGCTGGTAGTGGTAGTATACAGGCAAACTCTGTGACTTCAAGGCCTGCCTTGTTTGCATAGTAAACTCCCAGGCCAGCCTTAGTTTCAGAGTCCTTGTTCCAGAAAGAAAGGAAAGGAGGGAGGAAGGAAGGAAGGAAGGAAGGGAGGGAGGGAGGGAGGGAGGGAGGGAGGGAGGGAGTGAAGGAAGAAGGGAGGAAGGGAGGAAGGGAGGAAGGAAGGAAGCAAAGTTCCCACAATAAAGAATTAAGATACTTAGTCCTGCTTTCCATTGCCAGTGTCAGGAGACAGAGCAGACACAAGCTTCTAACAACTTCCCCTTAGACAGATGGAGGGAAATGTAAACACAGAAGAGGCTAACAACCATACTGCTTTCCCCCCCACAAGTCATGATTTCAAACTTTCTAACTTGCACCCCATCTAAGTTCTCTAAGACCCAACAACCACGTGACTATGTCTAAGCTGAAGATGTATGCCCTGTAAAGACACTAAAAATGCCATGACAGAGCAAGAGATCAGTCCACACCCTCTGCTTTGTGTTACAAGGAATGGGGAACAGGCCACTTCAGCCTTGAAAACAGAGAAAGCTGTCTAAAACCCAGTCATGATCGTCTCTATAAACCAAGTCACATGAGTTTAATTTGGAGGTCTTGCTGAAAGCATATCAAAAAAAGAAAAAGGTGAAGTGGCCAAAAAGGAGGGGAATTGACTCTGAGGAGTCCCAACTAGCACATGCTTGAGGGTATACAGCTATGTCTGCTGCTAGTCCCCTCGATGTTGCCGTGTGTGTGTGTGTGTGTGTGTGTGTGTGTGTGTGTGTGTGTGTGTGTGTGTGCCACAATATTCCCCTAGATGTTGCCTGTGTGTGAGAGAGACACAATAGACACTCAGGTTATTGCAATCTTCTTAGATATTCCTCTGTAATTTCAAATTTCTTTTGTTTTCTTTTGTACTACATCACCATAAAAAGCATCCTCGAAAATACTTATTTGATGATCAGTGGACAATTCCTTAGTAAGAGCCCTTAGAGACTGAATTGCTGAGTCAAGGGGCATTATAATTTTGAAAGACCTCTTTTATTGTTGACAAGGTTATCCTAGTAACATGTATCCTTAAAATGTGGGTGGTACCCAAAATGCATGTGGACCCTGAGCACCAAATTCAGTCAGCCACAGGTTCACACTCTCCTGATGGACTCTGGCTGGTTGAAAATTTTAGAACCCAAATTGCAAGTGCAGGTGCCCTAGAGCCACATGAGGAGCTATGACTGTTTTGATGCTGAAATCGACTCCCTGTGTTAGGGAGCTGCTTAGAAAATGACCTTGGTTTGGAGAACATCACATTCAAATACACAGACAACCCACTATCTCCCAGCAAACCCACCTCCTGCTGAAAACACCAGAGGCCACTGAAGAACCCCATGATGCCACTCAAGGTTCCATCTGATTCTAAAAATCCATTTGAATTATTGGCAAATGCTTGAGTCATCAATGCCTTTGGCACTAAGGGACCAAGGGGCTCACAGAGCAAGAAAGAGCATCCGATGCAGACTATCAATGATCCAGCCTTTTAACATTCTTGAAACAAAGAAAGACTGTGGGAATACAGAGTGGCATCTGCCTTGAACTTGGGTACCCGGTTGGAAAGGTAATCTGGTCAGAAGGGAAGGACGAGTTTGAAGGTGAGTTCAGTCTGCACATGGGTAAACATCAAGGACTCATAGCTAGGGTGTGAGTCTGTTTGCGTTTCCACAAAATCATCGTGGTGCTCTTCCTGCCATCATTGTGAGAGGCCGGGGACCTGTCACTACAATGGAAAAGTGCTGTCCTTGAAAGGGATCCGCAAGGCTTAAGCAGGGAGCCTCCGGGCTTGGGCGGCACAGCAAGAGGACGCTTCCAGGTTCCAAGGACATCCTAACAGCCCCATTCCTGCTGGAGAAAAGCCTGTTTCCAGCTCAGATCTGATCTAAAGGAAAAGACAAAAATAGAGGCTTTCCCAGGATCAAGGACACTGCTATCAGAAAATCATGAGGTGTTCATCATAATTTAAAAAAATAGAAACAACCTATGATCTAATAGAAGTCTGATATATACAAAATTTCCAATGACTATCTGGGGGGCCGGGGGGGGGAGATAGCTTAGAAATTAAGAGCATGCAGGACCTGAGTTTGTTTCCCAGAACCCATGCTGGGCACTTGCAACTGCCTATAACTCCAGTTCCAGGGGATCCAGCGCCCCCTTCCGGCCACTGCGGATACTCACACAGGCACACATGTACATGAGGAATAAAAGACAAACCAAATCTATGTACAGGAGAGGGAGAGAGAGAGACCTTGAAATACACACAAGTTGCTGTGCCGTGTGCAAAAGCAGACTGCAGACAAGACATCCTGGGATGTAAACCAGCAGGACGTTTCTGTTTCTTCCATGATATCAAAAGCTCCCCCCCTCTCTATTCAGTTTATCTGCACTTTCTCTATTTCCACAGTGCCCAAATCAGTAATGAAAACAAGGCTGTTCCTGTTTGTTTTGCCTTGTGTTCATCTCCCTCTACTGCAGTGCAACAGAGAATCCCAAGGGTCAGAATGCTAACCCCGAAAGCAGCCTCTGGTCAGAGTGCAGAGCAGCAGCGAGCTGCGGGTTATTAATAAGTAATTAGTAGCCAGCCGTTCTCTGCACAGTTTGGGAGGAATGAAAGGCTTCCTTGTAAGTAACTCCCAACTACATGCCCCAATATAATTCACACTTAGAACTTTTACCACACTCAAGCCTAGATTTACACAAGAAATAAGCTACTCGTGAGAGTGGCAATCCAGAAAAGCCGAATCCACAGAACCTAGAGCCAAGGTAACTGGGCTCAGAGGTGGGGGGGGGGAGGATCAAGGCAATCCTTGCTCCTCTGAGAGGGATGTCAGCAGTCAGATACAGGCACTCAAACACTTCCACCAGGACCCAATCACTCAGCGTGGGCAGGCAGCCTGTGGTAGCTCGGCACCATGGGCATTGGATGGTCACAGGCAGACCTGGCAAATATGGGCAGATGTGTCCTCAAAACCCAGAGAGAAGACCCCTCTTGACCTTGGTGACAATCACATCTCGCTCGGTACACAGCTATGTACTACATAAGGGCATGGTGGCCAATGAAGAGACACGGACAGGTATGACAGCGGATCCTTGATTTTTCTAGCCTAGTCGTAGCCACCCTTGTTTGTATACGTATGTTCTGTGATGGTCACAAATCATGAAAATAATAAGGTGTATTGCTCAGGGCGTGTTCCTCTCCTTAGGTAGAATGTGACTTTGCTTGTGGTGTATTATGCAGGGTCCGCCTTACCTTGAATTTCTGTTTCTGGAAAGATTCCCATTTGACTCTTGGTTCTGTGCACCTTTGAATGGCAGTGGGAGAAGAGGGAAGTTTCTAGGGACCGGTCTAGCCTGAGACACTTCTCCACCAGGGGCTGCCCTGTCTCGGAGCCACGAGTACACGGCAGTAGCCACTTGCTGTTTTGGAAGAAGGCAAACTCTTGAGCCAGACCCCAGGCACCAGGGCTTCCCCCTTCCTCAGACCCCAGAAAAGATCAGGAGTCCTAGAAAGTGGTGATAGAAAATGAAATAATGCAAACTAACAAACAGAAAAAGAACATGGAAAGCAAGCCGGGACTCAAGTGAGAAACATCTTCATCAGTTTGCTGTGAAAAGACAGGGAATGGGGAGAGAGACTCCTTAGCCCTGGCTTAGACCCTCCAGGCTTCCCCAGACCACAGTAGACCAAGAAGGCCTTGAAGTCTCTGCTCACAGGTACAAGGCCTCCCACTCTTCCTAGAGTGGGGAGGACTAGCTTCCCCACCTTCTCACAAGCCAGGCAGCCAGATCCCCACTCCCTTGGCTGTATTAAGGAACCTCCCTAAGGGAAGGAGACCCTGGAGCCCAGGCCTCTAAGACCTGAACACCATCACTGCTCAGGAGCCGCACACAGAGCACGGAATTCTCCCGGCGCAGGTTTTCCCCCATGCTCAGTGAGCTTTTGACTAAGAACAGCATTGTGTTTTATTAAGTGATTTCTTTTTATAAGTTGCAAATACTGGGCACTTGACCTGAGGCCTCCAGGAGACGCACAGATCCAAGCAACTTCATCATCCTACTCCTTGGGTTCTGCACGTTACAACTACTCATTAACTGACTCTGTGACCTTTGACCGGCCACTTAACCTCCTGCTCCAACTTTCCTCAGGTGTAATAAAGGTCCCCTCCATCCAATAACAGCAGCCACATAGCAGCATGCACAGTGTTCCCGGGCTCCTAAATCCCAAACCAGCCAAAAGGGATGACCCTACCCCCTGAATTCCTGATTCTGTAGATCAGAGGGAGGCCTGGTGTACACTGCGTGTCTCTAGCAAACAACCCTGAAAATGTGGACACATGGTCAGAGACTCTCCGAGTTGGGGAGAAAAATCAATAATAACAAAAAGGTAGTCTAGCCCCTTTTCATTCAGTAATCCTCTGATAAGAAACCTATAGATAGTGAATAGAAAATCCCCAGCCGTTGGTGGCATGAACCTGTGGAAGCTACATGAGCTTGAACTTCTATTGAAAGAATGGCACTCAGCCTGAATAGTAAGGCATTGCAAACAGTAGGCACTTAATAGCTGCCGGCGCTTTATTAAGTTCCACACTGCCCTGTTCTAAAATAGTCATTTCTCACCAGCAAAAGCAAGTGTAAGAAAGACTGCCTACCCGCACTGGGCAGATTGGACTGGGATTCATACTGGACTGCTCTCGAACAGGGTTTCAATCCAAGTCTGAGGTCTTAATCCAAAACTGCGGTTTTCCGGCTCAAGGGGACAAAGCTGTGGAAAAATGCAAATTGGGGGCACTGCCAGCAGTGAGACCCAAGCCCATGCCACATGAGTTTTCTATTTCATGAGAAGTTTTTCCGTCACTATCAGTAGCATTGGGGTCAGCTGCCTGAGAAACGACACAAACAAGATTCAAAGGCCAGGCCAATGGGCAGGTGAGGCTTGAGGGAGGGTCACGAGCACTCTCGGGGGCTTTGATTCCCTACTGGGACCCTCAACCAGGACATTGCCACTGTACAGAAATAAGCAAAGGTCAATCAAGGAAAAAGCCAAGGGCTGCGAGTCCTCAAGGCATGGAGGACACGTTGCAAGCCCCCTCCTTTTGATACCGTGTCTACACCCTCAGCATGCCCCCCGGGTGCCAGAGCTCGCCTGTCCCTCCACTATTTATATCTGGGTCCTTTGCTCCATTAGCTTTGTGTTTCAGGCCATTATTAAGTAAAATATGGCTCACTCACCATAGCACCGATGTCTCAAAGATCGAAAAAGAAAACCAGCACTGAGTGGCTCAGGTAATCTAGACCGCTTCCAATTGGCAAGAGGATAGTGCTATGGTTTAGATCTGAAATAGTCCCCCAAAGGGCTGTGTTGAAGGCTAAGTGTCTTGTGGGAAGCCAAAGCAGCCCCGAGTGAGGGTATACTGTTGACAAGGGCACCAATGCCTCAGACCCACGGGAAGGAGCACAGCCACCTCTGGAGCGAGGCTCAAACAGATGGCAAAGCTTTCTTCTGGTTCCAGTGGGAATGATGGCAGTATGCGCAAACACCAGCAACCACGGCATCTTCCTCCGTGGCTGCAACCTACCCTGCATCCCTACCAAGCACTTCCTGTGGAGACTAACTAACTCCCCCACTTCCCCACTGCCCTGTGGAGTTCATAATACACTCTGAGCTGTGTGGTTGTTGGCAGGAGTTAGTGACGCCCCCGGGGAACAAGTACACCCCACCCAATCGCAGCTTTCCTTTACATGTGTCTGTAGGTCTGTCCTTTCTCCATCCATTGCTACCCCAATTGATCAGGGTTCCGGGACAAAACCACACGGGGCATGGCAGTCTCCCCACTCAGAGCTATTGGCAGATACAGGAAACTTTAAGAAGTAGGGACTCACGGATGCCTGCGTTCCTCACTGCTGCCAGGAATCACGCGGAAGTCCATGGTCCACGCTGCTGCTGGCTGTCATGAACAAGGAGGCTTCTTTTCCAGTGGTATCGATGACTGTAGACTCGCAGTTGAGAATGAGAGACACTGAAGGCTTCTGTGACAATCCTCGCCCCCAAAAGAGAAACAGTCTAGACAAGAAGCCATCGAAGAGAGTCCTTAGACATTGTGGTGCGGATGCTGAAGTGTAGCTCTCCACAGTTGATGGCTTCTGGGGAGGGTGGGGAAAGACTCAGTTATCTTTAAGGGGCTGGCCACCGGGAGTTAGTTTGACCATGCACCAATGAGTATATGGACAACACAAATTAGATTTGGTGTATTTTTTTCTTCCTTTTTTCTTTTTTGGGTGAAGGGCACAAGAGTGGATCTGGGAAAAACAGGAAGCAAGTGTGACCAGGGTGCACTGTGTAAAATTTCAAAATAATCTATAAAAATATTATGTTGGGGAAAAATACGGAGGGCCTCATGACTTGAGCTCTAGTTACGGGGTGTTAGCTGGGAGGAGATTGTGAGACCTTGACCTTTCCTCTCTTTTTCCTGCTCTGACCGTGAGTTGTACTGATTGCATCACCATGCAGTCCCTACTAAACTGTGTGACCTCCACCCAGGTCCTAGAGCATGCGACCAAGCGTCCTTGGACTGAAGCCTTATACTCTTTGGCAGTTAGCTGTGTCACCTGTTGCAGTAATGGAAAACTGGCCAACACTTGTGGCTTGTACGATGTGGCTACCCCAGAGAACAAGGAGTCACAAGTGGAAGAGCACAGACCAGGATGACACATCATTTCTTCCTACCTTGCACAATAGTAAGCCATTTAAAGCTTAGGAACCCTTTACCTTCGGACTTTTCTATTTACACTGTCTGGGCCGTGGTTGAGCTCAGAGCTTAACAGAAACTGGAGAGCTAGAGCTAGCCTGCAGGTGAGTGGGGGTTGCTGTGTGTATTCAGAGCTTGCAAGCAGCGAGGAAGCCACTTCACCCAATTTCTGGCAGAGACTAAAAGCAGCAGAGTGAGAAAGCTTCATCGTGGGGCAAAGAAAAAGTGTCAGATGTGGGGGCTGGAGAGATGGCTTAGCAGTTAAGAGCACTGACTACTCTTCCAGATGGACCTGGGTTCAATTCCCAGCAACCACATGGCAGCTTGCAACTGTCTGTAACCCCAAGATCTGACACCCTCACACAGACATACATGCAGGCAGAACACCAATATACATAAAATAAGAATAAATAAACTTTTAAAAAAATGTCAGATGTTCCATGACTGGAGTCAATGCTAGACGAAGCTCAAAGAAAGCAGGGCACCCAACTGCTTGGTTAGGAATGTACTTATTTTATCTGATTGGTCCTTATGCAGGGATGAAAGTTACGGGGATTGTTAGTTGTTAACCAGCCCTATCCATTTGGGACTGATTGCTGTAGAAGTTTTCATCTGGCCTTCTGGATTATTATCAAAGAGAACAAGTTTGGCTCTTGGCAGGCTAGCTTCTAAGGCTCTTTGTTCTAGACACGGCAGTGGTTTCCTGGGCAGCTTGCTACAGATTTTGATCAGAATGATGTTTTTATATATGGACTGGCCACTATTGTAATTGTTCCTGGATAAAATCCTGAGATCCGCCAGGCGGTGGTGGCGCACGCCTTTAATCCCATCACTCAGGAGGCAGAGGCAGGCGGATCTCTGTGAGTTCAAAATCAGCCTGGTCTACAGAGCAAGTTCCAGGACAGCCTCCAAAACAATACAGAGAAACCCTGTCTCGTAAAAACCAAAAAAAAAAATCCTGAGACCCGTAAAAAGTAGAGATCAAGTGTGGTGGCATGCACCTTTAATCCCAACTCTAAGGAAGCAGAGGTAGGTGGGTCTCTGTGAGTTTGAGGCCAGTCATGGCAATGTAGTGAGACTCAAAACTCTAAACTAATTAATCAAATAAAATATAAAACAGTTTGAAATGAAGAATAAAGCAAAGTATGTCCAGACCTTTAGAATCTGCTCTTTAAGCCACAGAGCAAGTTAAACGTGGGAAAAGAAGATTGGGACCAGGAGGAAATGGGTGTTAGTCCTCCACAACCTCCTCTGGTAGGCAAGGTTGCTGGTCACATTGATGAGAATGCCTGCATAAAACTAGAACCCTGGTCTACCAGCACCCATCTCAGGACTATTCCAGACCCCAAGGAGGCTGTCCTCAGCAGTCTCAGTACAGATGTGGTACTTTTTAAAAACTTGATAGCTACTGTCTCTGAACGCCAGCTTTTATTCCAGAGGGCACTTGGGGGAGCTTTGCATGACAGGCCATCTGCCACTCCAAACACCATTTCCTTACCTGGAAATAGCAAGACAGACAATCGCCTGTCCACAGAGCCTCCCGGGCTGCCATGAGGCTGCTTCATGGTACGCCTGTTGTGAGTGTGTCAACGGAGAGTTCCCTGTCAGGAACAACAGAAGAGTTGCCAGAGGGACTAAAATATTCTGCACAGAATAATAGATCACCACACCCCAGTGACTGCCTATTCCAAAAAGAGGCTGTGAAAATACAATCCCTAGTGGCCCCAAACTACCAAAACAACTTCCAGATAGCAGCAATTTAACAGGTCCTCCCTAACAGGCCAGGTCTGTGGTCTTGCAAATACAAAGTCTTCCTTAGGAGAATAACAGCAGAGAATGGTTTATCATCTATCTATCTATTTATTTATTAAGTTCATCAAACAAATAAAGGCCATCAATAAATACTATGTAAGACCTGGATCCTGTTTTATCTTCCCATCGTCAAAATAAACACATTGGCCCTGACAATCTATTCCAGACAGTAAGGAAAAACAGGGCGGGCAGAGCGCAAGTTAAGATTAAGGTTCTGGTTTCTGTCCTGTGCTGTTTCTCAGTTCCAGGCCTGGGTCTGTTATAACAGATGTGCTTGTGGGTGCCTCTAAGAGCAGCTAACCTCTGCATGATCACACCCAGAGCAAGGTGGGTTTGTTTTACCTGTTTGTTTTGGGGAATTTGGTTTGGGTATGAATTGTCAGCTGTTACATTGTTTCGGTGCTAGGCAGCAGACCCACAATCTCGGAGGCTAAGGCATTAGCACCAAGCTAAACTCCTGGCCCTAAGTGTCTTGTGTCTTCAGTTATTGTTGTTATTAAAGATGTGTATGCATGTATGCACGCTTGTATGCTCTGTGTGTGTGTGTGTGTATCTGTGTGTGTGTGTGTGTTCCATTTTCACAGTTTTGAGAAACTGCTACCAGTATGAATTGTGTTAGAATTCATAATTCTAAATAGAATTCATAAAAACTTCTTTAGGATTGACTCAAAAGTCACTCAAAAATAGTTCAACACTTCAACTAAATGTGTTTTCATGATTACAATACACATGCCTTGTTTGGATACTTCCTGCCTCTAAGCTACCTTCCTAATGCTGTGGCATTTTTAACACAGTTCCTCATGTTATGGTGACCCCCAACCATATAAGTATTTCATTGCTACGTCATACTATAATTTTGCTACTGTTGTGAGTCATAATGTAAATATCTGATATGAAGAATATCTAATATGCAACCTCTGTGAAAGGGTCTTTCCACAATCCCCCAAGGGGTCGAGACCTACTGGTTGAGAACCTGTCGCCTAAGCAGAAATGAGCAATTTGTGGACTTTGGGAGCCCACTCCACAGAGAGGGATACTCTCTCAACCTAGACACACAGGGGAGGCCTAGGCCCTGCTCCAAATGACATGACAGACTTTGAAGATTCCCCATGGAAGGCCTCACCCTCTCTGGGGGGCAGAAGGGACATGGGATGGGGGGATGGTCGGTGGGGGGCAGGGGAGGAGGGTAGGAAGAGGGAACTGGGACTGACATGTAAAACTAGCTTGTTTCTAATTTAAATTAAAAAATGAAAAAAAAAAGAATTGAGCAATTGGCATCTTCCTCCCTCACCTTGCCCTGCAGATATTAAGAACAAAGCAGGACAGATTTAGGAATGCAAGAAGAATATTTCACCAGTGTCTAAGGTGCCAAGCACATTGAGGCTGCTGCTTGGTGGTGTCGCCTTACCCTGGGCTTGGACACCCAACACTTCGCTGGGAACGTGGGCTAGAGCACGCACTCCATTCCTAGAGGAGCTGGTGTTTGGCTTTCTCCCAGGACGGCGCATGGAAAGTGAGACTCCCCCACTTCGAGCGTGCACCACCTCCCATCATCCAGCTTAAGGTAAATTCTGCACTTGAATTCACACGGCTTGCCCCTTTTTCGAGGGCTAGAGTGCATCTTACGGTGCTGCTTTCTTCTGAGATACCTTTCTTTTGCTTACATCTGCCTACATGGCTGGGAGTGTCTACAGAGCCCTGAAGAAGGTGTTGGGATTCCTTGGGAGCTAGAATCACAGATGGCTGTGAGCCCTATGACATGGGTGCTAGCTTCTGAACTCTGAAGAGCAGCAAGCTCTCTTAACTGCTGATTTATTTCTTCAGCCCCCAAAAGTTTTTTTACATATATCTGGTTCACAAGCTAGCCTGCTTAGGATTACTGTTGCTGGAATGAAACACCATGACCAAAGCAAGTTTGGGAGGAAAAGGTTTATTTGCTCACACTTCCATATCACTGTTATTAATTCAAGGTAGGCTGGAGTAAGTTAAGAATATGAATTGTGACACGTAATCACCACTAACAATAAAAAGAGACATAACTGAAAGGCTAGCTTAAAAATCCACGAGATACTGTGCCCTGCCCCTGTCACCTTTGACAGGTGAGAGATCTGGCCCTGAGGTCATGAGGGTGGGAGAGATGATCCTGCCCCTCACCAGTTGCAGGACTAGGGAGAGCAGGCCCTGCACCTTGCCTGGACAAAGCAGTAGAGCTGGCCCTGCTGGTGTGGGTGCAGGTGAGCTGGCCCAGAGGACCTGAGAGCGACCTGAGAGCAGGAAAACTGGCCCCTCTCCCTGCTGCTTGCTTCATTGGCTAAGGTAGAGCCGCAGAGCTCGCCCTGGTCGTGGTGATGAGGGAAAGGTAGCAGGCTGACCCGCCCAGCTACCGCCCAGGCCTGGAACCAGAGCTATGATTCTGGTTAACCCACCCCAATGTCCACCTCATCTATGATCTGCTGGAGCATGTGAAGAAGCCAGACCTACAGACCCAAAGCTACAGTATCACCATGACAACCAGGGCAACAACAGTATAACCAAGAGGAGTCCTAGTATGAAGGATGTAGCGGGGGCCTCGAACCAGTCCAACGACTCATTGCAATGAACACTTACAAGTAAAGATGAGTGGATTACAGAGTATACTGTGTGACTCACTGGGCAACACTATAGTTTCCATGATGAGTTTTGTTTGCTTGTTTGGGGGAGCATTTTGTTTTTGTTTTTGTTTTGTGCTTTTGTCTTTCTTTTAAATTTTGTTTTATTTTGGGGGCAGGTTGCAAGGGCAGAAGGAAGATACTAAGGGATGGCAAATGAATGAGATTGGGATGCATGACATGAAATCCAATCTATAAAAAGTTAAGAAAAAACAAGAGAAAAACATCAATATATACACCCTTCCTGGAAAAGGGCTGGCAGCTAACCTGGTGATGTGACTTGGTAAGTCCATCTAATTGAGATGCTAAGACAGAGGAATCTCAAGTTCAAGGCCCAACTGGGCTCCAAAGAGAGATCAAGACCATCCTAGATAACTTAGCAAGACCAAACAAAAAATTTAAAGGATTAGGCATACAGTCCAATGGTAAAAATGAAGGAGGTGAGTATGTGCCAGCTAACTGCCTATTTTTTTATGTGTATGTTGGAGGAATGGAGGGAGGGAAAGAGAAAAGTGGGGATGATAGAAAAGAAAAGAGGAGAGGAATGGAGGAAGAAGAATAAAGAAGAGAAAAACAGGAAAAGCAAAATAAAACAAGTTGTACAAAATGAAAACAATGACAGACATGTACTCAACATTGTCACGTCAGTACATTAAACATTAATCAATTAAAATCTCCAATAAAATAAAAATATTGTTAAATTATATTTATTGAAAAAGTCATGGCCAAACTGATATGTTTATAAACATTACTGTAAAAATAGCAGCTTATCTAGTTTAAACATGTATGCTACATAAAGATCTACCATCCTGCCAATCTTTTAAGTGCTGTATTAACATCAGATAAAATATAACAACATATGGGCAGCACTAAGAGCTCAAAAGCAGTGGTTCACAATGTTTATGGAATAAATTCTTCAAGTGGACACTGCAGTCCTATGTGTACATGTAACTAATACTGGATATCCAACCTTTACAAAGCAGCAACTGACAGCACCAATGGAATAAATAAAGATGTCCTCAAATGCAGCTGAAGAGTGGACCTTTTCCCCATAGCTAAATGTGCAATGTTGTTTTGCTTTTGTTTTGTTTTGTTTTTAGTTAGAAGCCATATAGTTGTAACATTTGTGTGAGCAGTTAAGGAGAGGGTCAGAGAAATTAAAAATAAGCCCACTTTTTGAATTGAAAAATGTGGTGTTGAAATGAAATCTCACTGTATGGATTAAACAGTGGATTACTTGTGGCTTAACAACTGCGAACAGACATAAGGTGGAAGGAGACTGTGCACAGCCTGGCCCATGCAGATGTGAGAGGTGGGGATGCAGATGTGAGAGGCGGGGATGCAGACATGCAGATGTGAGGGGGGAGGCAGACATGCAGATGTGAGAGGAGGGGATGTAGACATGCAGATGTGAGAAGCAGGGATGCAGACATGCAGATGTGAGAGGAGGGGATGCAGACATGCAGATGTGAGGGGGGGGATGCAGATGTGAGAGGTGGGATGCAGACATGCAGATGTGAGGGGAGAAATGCAGACATGCAGATGTGAGGGGAGATGTAGACATGCAGATGTGAGAGGAGGGATGCAGACATGCAGATGTGAGAGGGGGGATGCAGATGTGAGAGGTGGGATGCAGACATGCAGATGTGAGGGGAGAAATGCAGACATGCAGATGTGAGGGGGAGATGCAGACATGCAGATGTGAGAGGCAGGGAGGCAGACATGCAGATATGAGAGGCGGGGAGGCAGGCATGCAGATGTGAGAGGCGGGGAGGCAGACATGCAGATGTGAGAGGGGGGATGCAGACATGCAGATGTGAGGGGGGAGGCAGACATGCAGATGAGAGGGGGGATGCAGACATGCAGATGTGAGAGGAGGGGGATGCAGACATGCAGATGTGAGAGACAGGGATGCAGACATGCAGATGTGAGAGGCGGGGAGGTAGACATGCAGATGTGAGGGGGAGGCAGACATGCAGATGTGAGGGGGGATGCAGATATGCAGATGTGAGAGGCGGGGATGCAGACATGCAGATGTGAGAGGTGGGGATGCAGACATGCAGATGTGAGAGGCGGGAGGCAGACATGCAGATGTGAGAGGGGGATGCAGACATGCAGATGTGAGAGGCGGGGAGGCAGACATGCAGATGTGAGAGGGGGGATGCAGGCATGCAGATGTGAGGGAGGCAGACATGCAGATGTGAGGGGGGAATGCAGACATGCAGATGTGAGAGGAGGGAGGCAGACATGCAGATGTGAGGGGGGAGGCAGACATGCAGATGTGAGGGGATGCAGACATGCAGATGTGAGAGGTGGGATGCAGACATGCAGATGTGAGGGGAGAAATGCAGACATGCAGATGTGAGGGGGAGATGTAGACATGCAGATGTGAGAGGAGGGATGCAGACATGCAGATGTGAGGGGGGGATGCAGATGTGAGAGGTGGGATGCAGACATGCAGATGTGAGAGGCAGGGAGGCAGACATGCAGATGTGAGAGGCAGGGAGGCAGACATGCAGATGTGAGAGGGGGGATGCAGACATGCAGATGTGAGGGGAGAAATGCAGACATGCAGATGTGGGGGGAGATGCAGACATGCAGATGTGAGAGGCGGGGAGGCAGACATGCAGATGTGAGAGGCAGGGAGGTAGACATGCAGATGTGAGAGGGGGGATGCAGACATGCAGATGTGAGGGGGGAGGCAGACATGCAGATGAGAGGGGATGCAGACATGCAGATGTGAGAGGAGGGATGCAGGCATGCAGATGTGAGAGACAGGGATGCAGACATGCAGATGTGAGAGGCGGGAGGTAGACATGCAGATGTGAGGGGAGGCAGACATGCAGATGTGAGGGGGGATGCAGATATGCAGATGTGAGAGGCGGGGATGCAGACATGCAGATGTGAGAGGGGATGCAGGCATGCAGATGTGAGGGGGGAGGCAGACATGCAGATGTGAGGCGGGAGGCAGACATGCAGATGTGAGGGGGGAATGCAGACATGCAGATGTGAGAGGGGGAGGCAGACATGCAGATGTGAGGGGGGAGGCAGACATGCAGATGTGAGGCGGGGAGGCAGACATGCAGATGTGAGAGGGGGGATGCAGACATGCAGATGTGAGAGGCGGGGAGGCAGACATGCAGATGTGAGAGGGGGGATGCAGGCATGCAGATGTGAGGGGGAGGCAGACATGCAGATGTGAGGGGGGAATGCAGACATGCAGATGTGAGAGGAGGGAGGCAGACATGCAGATGTGAGGGGGGAGGCAGACATGCAGATGTGAGGGGGGATGCAGACATGCAGATGTGAGAGGAGGGAGGCAGACATGCAGATGTGAGAGCCGGGGATGCAGAGGGCCATAGAAACCAAATTTCGTTTCCTTTGCGCTAAGCAAAGGTAAACCAGATGTTTAGAGCACTGTGCCCAGCTAAACCTTCATTCAAGAGTAAAATGAAACAAGACTCTGAGTCAGACACGATTTGTCTGATTCTTGACAAAAGAAAATACAGAGGTTGTTCTTCAGGTTAAAACAAAAGGGATATAAGGAAACTCATAGGATACAAGGACAATGAAGCCCCAAAAGAAAAAAAAAGAATTAAATAACCGTGTAAATGAATTTGAGTTAGCACTGTGTTGGGGGACTCTTTTTTTTTTTTTTTTTAAGATTTAGTTGTTTATTATGTACACAGTGTTCTGCTTGCATGTAAGCCTGCAGGCCAGAAGAGGGCACCAGATCTCATTACAGATGGTTGTGAGCCACCATGTGGCTGCTGGGAATTGAACTCAGGACCCTTGGAAGAGCAGTCAGTGCTCTTAATCTCTGAGCCATCTCTCCAGCCCCACTCTTTAAAATTCTAGTATTTATACGTGAAGGTGGACATTGGAAAAGTTTAAGACATTCTAAATAAAGTCTTTGGAATTATTTTTTTTTAAGGGAAGCAATGGTTATACTAATGAATTTGTTTAGTTTGAAAGGCTGACTGTAAACTTAGGGGTAGAAATTAACCAAATGCATAAACTTTGAAATAAATGAGGAAAAGGGTTTTGTTTTTTAAGACTCACCTTTGAATAGATGGCAAAAAGAAGTTTAGAACAAAGCCCTGAAATTGGTAATAAAAAAAGACTATGGTATAAATATATCTAAGCAAATCTACAATAAATATAAATGGGTCAAACTCTCCAGTTAAAAAGTAACTATTCTCAGTATGAATTTTCTAAGCGAGCTACACATTAAAGTCTACCAAAGCTGTGTATGTAAGCATAATACAGTGTTTGGTGTTTTTTAAAGTCTGGTAAGACACAGAGTACAATCTTATTGTGCATTGCTTAAAATATATTAAACAATACCCTAGCTCATTTATGGATATTAGTACATGTAGGGCTAATAATAAAACATTTACAGTATTGTATACCAATATTAAGATTGCAATAATTTCTAAGGGAAAATGGAGGGGAGTTGATGCTGAACATAGGAATAGTCATAAACTTCGTCAATACCTATAAATTTCCATTTCTTTTTTCTAACTTTAAAACACACATGTAGCAAAAAAATTAATTCGTTAAATTGACATTACATTTATGAGCATGTTTAAAACATGTGTGTCCTGCAGAAAAAAATAAATAACTGAATAAAATAAAGTAATATAATTTCAATTTTATTGCCATTGACAAAATACAGTGTTAGAAAGACATATAAAACATAATCCTTGAATTTATTTGTAGAAAATGTTAATGTTAGAATAAGAAAACATTTTCTAGCCAATAGAAATAATGGATTATTTTTTTCAGAAAGAGACTCCTACGTGAGACAAGTTGAGAAACTTCACACCAACCAGAGCATGCATGACCTTGCAAAGAAGGGTGATGACTGTGGTCAACAATTAATTGACTGCTTCAAAATAGCTATTAGGCAGGAATCTGAGTGTATCAAATTAATGTCTGTGATAGATATGCCAATGACCTCAACCTTTATACATTTACCTATGCCTTTGAGTAGCATACTCAAACCCCAGAATATGAACAATTTCTATTTAACATGGAACTTCTTAAAGGCTAAATCAAGACCTTCATTGGCAGAGCTCTGTCTTGATAAGTTTTCTAGTCAGCATGTGGTACCAATTCAAGAATCATTCTACATCCCAAAGTTTAAATTCTGATAACATTCCAAAAGCCAAAATTCTCATCTAAGTCAGTACGAGAGTTCAATCTGAATGTGTGTACTCTCCCTACAGTGTTCATTTCTCTCCACTCACTAAGAATCTGTGTTCCAAAGGCTTGGCTTCCCCAGCCAAGTGCAGCAGGCCATGAAAAACTGCATGGCTACTCTCCATAAACCTACAGTGATGTTCCAATTCCACATTTACCAGCTTACGCAAGAACATGAAGCAAATTCCAAAGCATAAAAATTCTTACCCCTGTAAAAGCACTGCGTTGAAAATCTTAGCTCCATTCACCATGTAAATGGCTCTTCCATACAGCCTCAAGTGGCCTCAAGTATCCACATAAAGAACGTTACAAATAATTAAGTTTGTCCAGTGCACGTTGAGCATGGAGACATCTCCCGGCCCGTGAAGATCCTGTGTTTGTTGCTAACTCAGATCCATTACAAAACCAATCCCTAGAACACAAGTCACACTGAGTCAGAAACCAAAAGTAGAGAATAATTCCTTCCTTGTTTTCTTTGACCAGCTTGCTGGCTGGGAAAGTAACTTGCTCTCTAAGAAGTTTTGTTTATCTACCTAGAGATTTCTTCCATAATCCATCCCTCTTTAACTATTGCCAATGTCCACACAGAAACCTTTAGGCTATGTTCCTGCTTCTTTGAACACTAGAAACCACAGAAATCTAAAGCAACTCTTCCCAGCTTCCTTGTAAAAGGAAGCTGGTTTTTTTTTTCTTCGTTCTTTCTCCATTGGTTTTCCCCCCTTGTTATTCATTAGTTTCTTCCGATTGCTCTTCTTCTAACCGTGTTCCCTGGGCTCCTGTCTGTGGTCACTTCCCACACACGAAACAAAGTGAATCGTATTTGTGGTCAACCAAGGTGCTCTGAGGACTGTGCAACATAGAAAAGGTGGCTTCTGGATGTAGGTCAAGAGGTCATTGCATCCTGGAATTCAATCACTCTCCACAGCAGTGACCACGACCCCACCCACCTTGTCTCATTCACCTTCAGTTTGTAAGGAGGTTTTTAATTTGCATCATATGTTTTATTTACTACAAATGTTTTAAGTAGCTTTAGCACCTGTCACTCATTTACATTAGAAGGTTTTGATGGAGAAAAATTAATCTCTGTGACTCTAATGCACATAGAATTGGTGGTTACCAATGAGTTCATTTCTTAAGAAATTAAACAAATGGTATTTTAGATGCTCTGTCATGCATGAATCTATACAGGGTCCTTATGAGAAAAAAATGAACTATAGGGACTGGGGGAAGAGAGTCAGCTGGAGTTCTTGTCATTATTTTTTAACAGTTGAAATATGTCAGGCACAGAAAGACAAATGCCAAAGGATCTCACTGGTCAAAAGTGGAACTCACAAAAGTAGACAGGGAGTAAACAGCATCACTAGGAACTAGGGCTGAGGGGAACTGGGAATTCGGACAGAAGAGTCAAAATTTCAGTTAGGAAGGATAAGTTCAAGATAACTGGATTAATTAGGTTTTCTATTGCTGTTAAGAGACACCATGACCATGGCAACTCTTATATGGAAAACATTCCATTGGGATGGCTCGCTTACAGCTTCAGAGGTAGTCCATTATCATCATGATGGGGAGCAAGGTGGCATGCAAGCAGACATGATGCTGAAGGAGTAGCTGAGAATCCTACAACTTGCAGGCAACAGGAAGTATCCTGACACAGGAACCATCAAAGCCCGCCTCCACAGTGACACACTTCCTCCAACAAAGGCCACACCCACTCCAACAAAGCCACATTTCCTCATGGTGTCATTCCCTATGAGATTTTGGGGGCCAATTGCATTCAAACTACCACAGTAACTATTCTACAACATGATAACTGGAGTCCACCTGTACTTGAATACTGATAAAAACAAAAAGTAGGTTTTATATGTTCCAACCGCAAAAATAAGGAGTGTGACTTGTAATGATTGTTTTAATTAGCCATTCCACAATACACATATATTTCAATGCATCACATTATCATATACCATATATATAGTGTATAGTGTATACCAATTAATAAAAAAATAGAAAAGTAAATAGACAGTAAAATGAGATGTGGGCTCCTGCTCCAAGAATAGTCCGTACCTTTCATGGATTTGGAAACAAATTCCTTTTTAATGGCTGAGAAACAGAAGCACTGAGCACAACAGTGCCTTTACTGATGTCTGGGCTATTGTGGAGGCTGAATGTGGCCCCCACGATAGCCCAGACCATCACCACATCACACTCGGGATAGAGCAGAAAAATAAAACCAGAGCCACGATTCAGCCATTTGGACAGAATGGAAATACACAGTCCCTCAATAGTGTGAAACACATGTGACAAGCAAATTCATTAGACTGTGTTATTTGCATTACAATAGGCTCTTTGGCAGGGCATGAAGTTGGTTATGTATTAAGTTATCATAATTTTGAAAAAAAGATTTACTATGAAGGTCCTTTAGCTCTAGATTTCCTTAGTTTGTGGAACTTGAAGATTTAGGCAATGGTGGCATCTAGAAAAAAATTAATTCATATCAGGAAATTTTTAGAAGCACAAACTTCAGAATGTCTTACAATTGACATACACTGGCTTTAGGTTCACATCACAAACCTAAAACACTGTTAAAATTTTTTAATTGCTAATAACATCCGTGTCTGCATGGAGTATGTACACGTACGTACAGTTGGTCCCAAAGACCAAAAGACAGTGTCAGATTCCCTAGAGCTGGGGTTATGGGTTATGAGCTCTCCATGTGGGTACTAGGAACTGAACTCCAGTCCTTTGCAAGAGCAATGAAAGTTACTAATTCGTCTCTCCAGCCCCTAAAATGTAGTTAAAATGCCGCCCCAACCTAAGGAGTCCCAGAGCCAACAAAGCCAGTTAGGCTCCATAAGTGTCCCTAGCTGGTTTGATTTGCAAACATGAGCAGATATTAACTTGAGACATTTCTTGTAACAGCATGCATCAAGGAAAATAGAGCCGAAACTTGGCCAACGAAAAGCAGCCAAAAAACTAACAATTACACAACCAGGAACTTCCAGATACACTAAGGCAACTTTACAACGACAACCAATCAAATCCATTTTCTTTATAGTAGTTCTCCACTCACACTGTAAAGCCCTCCTTCCCCTTCTTCAGCAGAGGAGTCTCTGCATGCCCTCTGATATGAACCTTTCTAATTCATGGATTGCTCTTTGCCAAAAAAACTTGGAATTTGTACTGTGCCTTAATTTATGGTTTAACATCATTCAGCATCTAAAACTTAGAGTCCACAGAGTTCATCAAAGAAAAACATAAACACCATTTCATGTGCCTTATTTAGTATATCATCCAAAAAGATTGTGAAACCTTACATTTTTTACTTGACTTAAAATGACAGTGGTCTCTCTTCTTCCTGTGTGGTACAACAGCCCGTGAGGCCCTGTGGATACCACAGTTAAGGCTATAATACTTCTAAGGGTCTTTAAAAGGAAAAATTCAAAATTTAGGTGACTTAAGTTTTAACCTAACTTTATACCACAACTCAATAAAATGCAGGTTTTAATATTTTATGACAAAAAGAGCTGACAAGATGAAAGAGGCTCAGACCCCGTAGAAACCAGGGGGTCTCCCTCATCTTCTTTTTACATTTTCTAGGAACCCCCAGCACTTTTGATGAGCCAAGAACATGGCTTTCTAGACAGCCAAAGGAGGCCACTGCTGCTGAGAACTTCCCACGTGGCCAGCATGGCCGTGGCCAGTGATCGTGGCTTTCCTATTATACAGGAGGGCAGGGACTCTCCAAGAAGATGCATCAATAACGGCCACGCCGAAATTTGGAAATCTATAAAAAGATGGCTCTCCTGATTTGGGTGTGACTCTAGAGGAATACAAATGCCACGTTGGGTGGTCAAGGAGCCCCTACAGTGAATGGCCACTGCCTGGTCAATGTGGACAAAAGAAAACCAGTTTTCTCAGGCTGTAGTTTGAGCTGTTCTCAGTGCCCACTCCCAATGTACACACTTTCTATCCCAAGGTAACTGTCTGGGCTGCTTCCTTCACTTTCCCATGACTTGAGACACCACTTTCACAATGTCATAGCTACGGACTGAACACCAACACCCGGATTACCTCACACACCAGCTCTAAAAGTAGCCCCAATCCTGACACAGTCTCCCCCACCACCCACCTATTGGAGTCTCTGCCCACAGTGTGTGTCACCAGCCAGATCAATCCCATAGCCCTCTGTGCAGTAAGAAACCAAGACTAATAAATCATTGCCCACTCTCAGTCCACAGATGGTAACTGTAGTTCATTGCAGGTAATTATTAAAAAAATGACTTTGGGAGCAAAAAAAAATCAAAACATGTGAGTATGTGTCTAATAGAAAAGGCTTGCAAAGAGATTTGGGAGTTCTAATGACTCCGAGGAGCAGGTGAAAGGTCTCAGAGCCTGACAGTCGTGGGGCAGCCTGATTGACAGGATCGATCCCTTCTCTCCTCCAAGATCGCCAGGCCCTGCATCCACTCGCCTCCAGTCCCTTGTGCCAGGCTGCTGGGCGGGGGAAGCTGGAGTGTTCCCTCTCACTTTAATGTGTTTCAGGGGGGAAAAAGCCCCCACAAACCCATCAATTACCAAGACTGTCAGCACCGAGAAGGTGTTGGGACAGTGACAGGGTTAGGTAAAAGCCTCGGGGGCTACACTGAACGAGTCCCTGGAAGTGTTAACCCACTCTTTATAGACTCGCCTCCTGTTCCTTGCTACACCCCCTGGAAAGAAACGCGGTTTTCTTTCCCTTTTAACTTTCACAAGGATGTTTGTGGTTTGTGCAGAGAGCAGCGTGGATGACAGGTCTTTATTATTTCAGCTGTCACTCATTAGGGAGATTGGTCCTTCCTGAAGCCTGAAGCTCTTTCCCCTGTCTCCAAGCAAACACAACCTGGTTTCTGCTTCAGTCCCTCCCCCATTTCATAGAAAGACATCTTCTCAGAAGACTGCAGCCATCCCCCTGCTGTAACCAAGAAAAAAAAACTAACCCCTCTGGGGTCCCTCGCAGCATTTTAACCATTCAGGGATGAAGGAGGAATTCTGGATGTCACTCAAGCTGAAAATTTTTGATTCATAAAAATATTCTTATTTAAATAAATGAATGAATGATTCTAATTAGTCTTCTAATGGAAATGTCCTTACACCAAATCAGAAATAAACTACAGTCCCGTTAGCCACTTCCAACAAAACTTGTTCACTAAAGTGCTCCTACAGTCTAAAGAAGAATACAAATGTCCCTTGTGTAACCAAATAAATAGCCTATGAGTAGGTTAATTCAATCAATGAGCAACTAAGAATGCAAAATCATTCAAAT